TTAGGCCATCGCCTGTGATGCCAGAATCACATATGGATGCCAGTTTGAGTCCCTGTTCTCCATTTCTTATTTGGCTCCTTATGAATACACCTGCAGAAGCAGCAGAATATGGCCCAAGTGCCTAGGCCCCTGAACCTATATGGGAAACCTGGTAGAATCTCCTGTCTCTTGGCTACAGTCTTGCCCAGCCCTGGCCATTTTGGCCTTTTGGGGAGCAACCCAGCAAATGGAAGATATCTCTCCCTCTTTTTTCATTGTAACTCTGCCTTTCAAATAAATAAAATAAATCTTCAATGAAAGATGAATTCAGACCTGGAGTATGGTTAACCATGTTGATAAACTGTCAGAAGGTGTTTGGGGGGAAAGAACATCAAAGACAAAGTCTCTAAGGTGGGATTGTGCCTGGTGGGTTAAGGAACATAAAGGAGGCTGATGAGACTGCAATGGAGTCAGTGAGGGAAGAGCAGAAGGAGGCACAGGGCCTCTGGGCCAGAGGTCATGTCTTGTAAGGAGGAACTTGTAGCTCTTGATTAGGACTTACTTTTTTTTTTTTTTTTTTTTGTCCTTGTGGGTGGACGGCTGACTCCTGCCCCTGCCACCCCTGAGTCCCCAGTGGCTCTCCAGTCACCTGGACACAGGGATGCAGGAAGCCCCGGCCCTCGCCTTGGGACACGAGTGACAAGTACAGACACTGCACCATGTGGCACAGCTCTCCAGGGGGCCTTGGAATGTGCCGGGAATGCCACGTCCTCAGCGAGGGTGGGGGGCGGCTGGGGCAGCCCGGGCTCTGGTCCTGTCCCTATAGTGCCCAGTGGGCGATGCTGCCCAGGGTAGGGAACCCAGGGCCAGATGCTTTCTGGGGTCCTGTAGGGAGCAGAACTCGGCCGGCTCCAAGTGGTAAGACAAGCCGCACCCCCAGTAAGGTCCACCCACGGGCAACAAGCGGCAGCTCACCGACAGAGACGATGACACCGCCGTGTAAGTATACATAGGCAGCAGGTGACACAGCCTCCCCGGGACTCTCCGCGCAGACTCTCCTGAGAGCGGTAGAGCGAAAGCTCCCCCCTGGAATCCTGCCCCTCCCCCCCCCCGGGTGGCCAGCCGCTACCCAGACCTTCCCGCCAGAGTCTCCCAGCCTGCCCTGCACCTGCCCGACGCCGGGACCCTGCCCATCCTTCGAGACCTGCTGCTGGGCTCAGAGGCACTACCCGAGCAGGTGTCACTTCAACCGCGGCCAAGACCACGTTGCAAGGAGCACTGGGGATTCTCTGGGAACCTCAGGTGGTCGGTTTAGCCGGTGTGTTGCGTGGTTCCCCCGCATTAATAAACTCCTCGTTGGAACCAACACCGCCTCGGCTGCCGTTACTATGCTTGCGACAGGTCCCTTAGCAAGCGGGCGCCTGGGAGATGAGGCTGTCTCTGCCCAGACAGCCTTCCTGGGCCTTGGGGACCAGCGCGTGCTGAGGCCTAGGCCTCTGCTGGCCCTGCTGCCTGCAAGGACAGACCTGCTTCACCTGACTCGCGTGTGCAGGCGCCCTGCCTCCGCGGCTCAGACGAGCCGGAACCGGAGCGCAGAGAACCTGCGGCACACACTGGAGCTTCACAGGGGCCCAGCCTGGCTTCCAGCTGCCCCAGGTGCTGCACACACTGCTCTCGTCCCACGAGGCCCACTTTCCATCAGCACCCTGGCTCTGCAGCCATTCCCACCATGGTGCCTTTGCCCGCGCAGGGCCTGCTGCTGGTCCACCCTCTCCGGGACACTCCAGGGCGGCTTCCCTGAGTGCCTGCAGCACTTCCTGCTGGGGACCTCCCACCCCTGCAGGTGCCGCCGGCTCAGCCACGACCCTCAGGAGCAGGGTGCTGTCCCTGCTGCCCCCGCCCTTTCTCTCCTAGCCCAGGGCCTGGGCTGCTGTCACACCCGGTGCATTCTTGTGGAATCCACTTGGGCCTGTCCCCTGGAGCCAGCCCGGGCTGTGAGCATGCCAGAACCTCTCTCACGTCTCCTCCGCCTTCTCATCAGTCCAGAGAAGCACCTCGCCCCCTCAGCACTTCCCCGCTGAGTCCCTGCTGTGTGCTGGGCTTTGTTTCAGGGCCGGGACCCAGAGTGGTGACTGGAGTGGCTGCCTCCACAGAGCTCAGGTTCTAGATAATGAATAGGTCCACAGACTACCCACGTAACGTCAGACGGAGAAAGTGCTGCAGACACGATAAAACACTGCAGAGTGACAAGGTGGCTGCAGGCTGCACGAGACACGGTGGCCAGGGAAGGCCTTGCTGGGAAAGGGCATTCCAGCTGAGTCAGCTCCGAGAAGGGCACAGGGGACAGCACGTGCCAAGGCCCTGCGGTGGGAGTAGGCATGCGTAGTTGAAGGGTGGAAAGCAGAGTGGCAAGACGCAAGGCCTTATGGGTCTCGGGGGAGATCCTAGCTCTTATTCCAAGAGGATGGGGCTTGGAGCAGGGTGATGGGGGAGGGGGTCGAGGGAGAGGAGGGACTCGGGATTTATTCTGTAGGTAGTGCGAGGCAGGCCTGGCTGGCGCGTGGTACAGGGAAGAAGAGGATGGGAAGTGGGTTGGAGCCGGTTGGCAGAGCCCCTGGGTGAAGGCAGGGCCACGTGCTGACATGAGGCAGACTGGACGAGGAGCAGGTTTGAGGGGGAATCCAAGGCTCTGTTCTGTGTCCACTTTGGGAATACAGGGGGACAGAATGAGACCGCCCAGGGAGAGGGCGGAGGTGGAGAGCGAAGGCTGCGTCCCTGGAGGTGGACAGGAGGAGCAGGGGCCAGGGAGGGAGGCTGGGGAGGAGCTGCCAGGGAAGTGGGCGGGGCCAGGGCGGGGCCGCCCCAGAGCCTGGAGGAGCAGGAGACGCTGCACCGCCGTTTAAACTGCTGCTTGTCCCGCTAACACCGCACGTGGGTGCACAGCTGAGTCCCGGCTGCTCCGCTTCTGATCCAACCCCCTGCTAATGCGCCTGGGAAAGCAGCAGCGGATGGCCCACGCGCCTGAGCCACCGCCACGCACGTGGGAGACCCAGTTGGATTTCTTGGCGCCTAGCTTCAGCCTGGCCCAGCCCTGGCTGCTGCATCTCCTTGGGGAGCAAAGCAGCAGGTGGAAGCTCTCTTCCTCTGTCTCTCTGCCTTTCAAATAAATACATTTTTAAAAGAAAGTGGAGCAAGCAAGGACAAGTAGCTCTCGAGGGACTGTGCTGTGAAGGGAACACAGCAGGGCTGCGTGGGCCCGGGGATGTGCTGGCTTCCACTCCGGGTCACTGAGGCGTGCGCATGTACTGGGGGGGACAAGCCTGTAAAGTGGCGAGGCCGAGCCCGTGGGCGGGGACCTGTCTCCCCGGCTTCCAGTGCAGCCAGGCAAGGCAGGGAGGGCGTGGACTTGGAGGTGGGGCCTTCTCAGCGTTATCACCCAGAGGGGCAGGAGGCAGGGTGAAGGGTGGGGCTGCTGGGCCGGGCATCCTGAGCGAAGTGGGAGGGGCTGCCGAGGACTGGCCGGAGCCGCTGGCGGTGGCGATTCCGAGCCCTGAGCCGGGCCGAGCTGCTCAGGGGCAGGGCGAGGTGCGGCTGGGCTTCCAGGAACACAGCAGAAAGGGGCAGGGGCGGGTGTTGGCAGGCCGTGACGACGACGACGACTGCGTATTCGCAGGCTGCCTGGTCAAGTCAAAGAGCCAGGGAAGTGGAGAGCTGGCGGAGGGGGAACGGCTGTGGGTGACCGTGGCTGAGAAATCCATGCTGGTGAGGAACAAGCCTTGCGTGGCATGAGCCCTGGGTTCTGAGTGTAGCGGAACACACACACACATATGCACACACACGCTCACGCACAGGTGCACACCCCAGCCCCAGCCCCTCTCAGATACCACTTACCGGTGCAGGGAGAGGTGCTGGTGCTGGCTGGGTCTCCACTGCTTCCCCCCTAAGTAGGGGAGAGACCCCAGGTCAGGGAGCATCCAGGACACTCACAGCTCCGCCCCCCAGCCTCACCCTGGCCTTGTCATTGCTGTCCCGTACACAGGCTCATGGACCAAAGAACTCCAGCATGAGAGCCATTAGATAGGGAAACTGAGGCCAGAGGGGCACCACTTGGCCAAGGCCCTGGGCCAGTTCGGGAGCTGGCAGGACTGGAATTCGCTTCCCCTGTAACGGAGCACAGGTGCAGCTTCGCAGGGCAGGGAGTGGTGGAAGTGGCTCACCCCTCTCCGGGCGTTGATGGCAGGAAGCCATGGGCTAGCCTCTCCTCTGGAGCCTCCGTGGGTATTAAGAGCGTGGCGTCCTGGGAGCTGTCCTTGGGGCCCCTTTGGGGGGGCTCTGCCGGGGCCCCCTCTGCCCGGATGTGAGGGATGCCCGCCTCCTGGGGGGGCCCGGCTCCCAGTGGCGGTCCACAGCTGTCTGGGGTGCGACACGGATCTGCTGGCTCCACTATGTCTGATCTGTCTGCTGCCTGGTGACCGGGGGTGGACGGATGCTCTGGGCCCTGTGGAGGACAAGGACATTAAGGATGAGGAACCCCACCCTGGTTATCCTGCTTACTCTGAGCCAGGCCCTGCAGGCACCCCCAGAAGGTAATATAAGTACCTGTATTTTTTTTTTAAAGAAAAAACTTTTATTGTTTATCTGAGAGGGAGGGAGGGAGGGAGAGAGAGAGAGGGATGTTCCATCTGCTGGTTCAGTCCCCAAATGCCCAAACAGCTGGAGCTGGGCCAGGCCACAGTCGGGAGGGGGGCACACAATGCAGAGCTCACACTCCAGGGTGGCAGGGACCCAGCTGCTGCCTCCCAGGGTCTGCACTGGAGGAAGCCGAGTCAGGAGCCAAAGCCAAGTGTGGACGCCGTAACCGCGAGGCCAACCACCCGGCCCCCACCTCCACGGTTTGACGGGTGAGACACTGAGGCCCAGGGAGGCACGGCCAGCCCAAAGTCACAGTCGTGCCTCCCTGTGGAGGTGAAGGGAGCCAGCAAACACACGAAGACCCCCTTTGCCTGGCATTTCCCAAGGGGGTGTTTCAAAGAACAAGAACCTTTCATGACACTCCCTAAAAATAGGGGCTTTGGCGGGGCATTCAAGGTGGCGGAAGAGAGAGGTCCTGCACTTGTCCCCAGAATGGCACAGGATGGACCCCACTGCCAGGAGATCGACTGAGGGGAAACTTCCACAAGGAAGTGATGGGAGGGGCCGGCGCTGTGGCGTAGTGGATAGGGCCACCTGCGACGCTGGCATCCCATATGGGCGCTGGTTCGAGTCCCGGCTGCTCCACTTCCTGCCCAGCTCCCTGCTGATATGCCTGGGAGAGCAGCCAAGGATGACTTGAGTGCTTGGACCCCTGCATCCACATGGGAGACCCAGCTGTTGTGGTCATTCGGGGACTGAACCAGTGGATAGAAGATACCCCACCCCCAACCCCGTGTAACTCTGACTTTCAAATAAACAAACAGGGGCCAGCACTGTGGTGTAGCAGGTAAACCCAACGCCTGCAGTGTCGGCATCCCATATGGGTGCCGGTTTGAGTCCTGGCTGCTCCACTTCCTATCCAGCTCTCTGCTGTGGCCTGGGAAAGCAGTAGAAGGTGGCCCAAGTGCTTGGGCCCCTGCACCCATGTGGGAGACCCGGAAGAAGGTCCTGGCTCCTGGCTTCGGATCAGTGCAGCTCTGGCTGTTGTGGCCATTTAGGAAGTGATGGCGATTCGGGGATGGAAGAATTCTCTGTCTCTTTCTGCCTCTGCTTCCCTGTAACTCTGCCTTCAAATAAATAAATACATCTTTAAAAAAACAAATAAACAAACAAACAAAAAACTGAAAAGGAAAAGGAGGAAATATGCAGTAGAAATGGCAAGTCCTTTAAAAAGAAAGAAAGAAGTGAGAGGAACTCTACCCAGCACGGAGACCCAGAAAGACGGCAGAGAGAGAACAAAGCACACCACAGCTCCCACCCAGCTCCCCGGCCAGGGCCACGCGCTCCACCCTGTGGGCACTCAGGTGCAAAGTTACAGGAACCCCACCACCACCACACACTCAACCCTACCTAGAGGAGAACCCCACAGTCCTCACCGGCCTTCGATCCAGTCTGAGTGGGCTCTGAGGGACTGCTTTGCTCAAAAAAAGGAAGCCATGGCCGGCGCTGCAGCTCAACAGGCTAATCCTCCGCCTAGCGGTGCCGGCACACTGGGTTCTAGTCCCGGTCAGGGCGCCGGATTCTGTCCCGGTTGCCCCTCTTCCAGGCCAGCTCTCTGCTGTGGCCAGGGAGTGCAGTGGAGGATGGCCCAGGTGCTTGGGCCCTGCACCCCATGGGAGACCAGGGTAAGTACCTGGCTCCTGGTTTCGGATCAGTGTGGTGCGCCGGCCGCGGCGGCCATTGGAGGGTGAACCAACGGCAAAGGAAGACCTTTCTCTCTCTCTCTCACTGTCCACTCTGTCTGTCAAAAAAAAAAAAAAAAAAAAAGGAAGCCACGCTGCCTCCCCTTGCTCCCAAACCGCCAGGCCTAGCTGCTACGGCACAGCCGCTGCTGAAGTCCGTTCTGTTTTAAGGGAGAGCAGGCAGCCCCGGCGGCGGCAGAAGGCCCACCCCTGGAGCCGGGGCACTTCGCCGGGCACAGAGCAGACCCCTGTGCCTCCTGCAGATGTGGAGCTGCCGGCACAAGCCCCGGAGCCACACGCACTGGCTCTGAGCGACCCAGGGATGCTTTTTGCTTCTTGGAGTTAGGTGCAAGAGGTCGGGACCTGCATCTCTCAGACAGGGTCGGGGGCAGCCACAGCACGTGCCCAGCACCACCCTGGCATGCCCTGTGGGACCCGAGGCAGTCCCTTCTGTGTCCTGCAGCCCTGCGACCGTGGCTGCTGGTGCTGTAATCGCTGGAGTGAGTCACGCCCACCTGTGGGACTAGAGGGCCCTATTTATACTCCTCTGCTTCCGGCTGGCGGCCACCAGTCCACAATCCTCAGCAGGACCTGCACGGGCCCAGTGGGTCCCGCAGCTCTGGGTCTAAGTCCTGGGGAGGATCCTGTCTACAACCCACCGATCCAGGCTTGCCGCTGCTAGTGCACTGCCCCCAGGATAACCTGAACCAACCCGCAGAAAAGGCAAGGCCGGGATGGTCACTGTCGGAGCTGTAGTCCACAGTTACTAGAGTTCACCCCATGGGACCTGGGGAGGACCGACCTTATCTGCATTCTACCGCCCCAGACCCGTGCTTGCCAGTGCACAATCCCAGTGTCACCTGTGCATGCAACACGGGGCCTGGGTAAAATCTCCACTGCGTCCTGCAGCTCTGGGACAGCGACTGTTGGCTCAGGAAATCCTGGGAACCCTGCACTGGCTCTGTGGGAACGGGAAGGCTCCACCTCCAGCCCACTGCTGCAGGCCCGCAGCTGCCAGCGCATAGTCTCCGCATAACCTACACTTTTCCCGTGGGGCCTGTGCAAAGCACCCTTCCTGCCCTGCGGCTTCTGGGACCATGACCATTAGTACTCTGTTCCTTGGGGTCACCAGAACCCACCCTAGAGAAGATCCCCCCTGCATTCCAGTCCTCTAGGCCTACTCCTGCCAGGCACAATCCCCAGCATAACCCATCTTAGCCCCGTGGGACCTGGGCAAGGTACCCTTCCCACGGCCCCAGTTCCTGAGCTGGTGCTCCTGGTGCTACAGGTCCCACCACCACCCTTGCCTACCCAGCAGGACGTGGGGAAGGCCCCTCCACGTCACAGCTGTTGGTGCCACGAGTCCCAGCATTACCCAAGCTTGCTTGGTGGGACTAGGGGACAGCCACTCCTGTGTCCCACAGGAACATGGCTACTGCCATCACACACCCTAGAGTGACTGACATCCGATTCCTGGGGCCTGGAGGCACACATCTCAGGAAGTCTACCTCCACTCTGAGGTCACACTACTACCTCCGTGAACTGCTGCAGGCTAGGCGACGGTGGCTCCCAGACACGGCCGACATGGGCTGCAGCCGAAGAAATCAAAGAGCTTGTACTTCTGGGCTCAACTAGAACCAAAGTCGAAACAACCACCCAACTGACACCCATTCCATCGAAAGCAGAGATTCTTTTCCAGTAAAAGCTGCTCCAGGGAGAGGGAGGAACCGTTAGATGAGCTGTGCTGACAGCAACGTAGGGGACACAGGACACGTGAAAAAGTGGGGCAGCGTGATTCCTACGGAAGAACAAAACAAGTCTCCAGAAACAGATCCTGACTTGAAGGAAACCTGAGATGCCTGCAAAACAATTTAAAATAAGGACCCTAAGGAAACTCAAGGAGATGAAAGAGGGTAAAGACGGATGAGGGCAGGGGTCGGGGCTTGGTATAGCAGGGCAAGCTGCGGTCTAAAGCGCCAGCATCCCATATGGGCGCCAGTTCGAGTCCCGGCTGCTCCACGTCCAATCCAGCTCTCTGCTAATGCGCCTGGGAAAGCAGGGGAGGATGGCCCAAATATTTGTACCCCTACACCCCTGTGGGAGATCCTGAAGAAGCTCCTGGCTCCTGGCTTCAGATCAGCCCAGCTCTGGCCGTTGTGGCCATTTGGGGAGTGACCCAGTAGATGGAAAACCTCTCTCTTTGTCTCTCCTCTGTAACTCTTTCAAATAATCTTTTTTAAAAATGAAAAAAGATTTATTTATCTAAAATGCAGAGTAACAGAGAGAGCGGAGAGACACACACACACACACACATCTTTGATCTACTCACTCCCCAAATGACCTCAACAGCCAGGGCTGTGCCGGGCTGAAACCAGAACCTGGAACTACTCCTGGGTCTCCCACGTGCATGGCAGGGACTTAAGTGCTTGGGCCATCTTCCGCTGCCTTCTCAGGCACATTGGTTGGGAGCTGGATCAGAAGCAGAGCAGCCGGGACTTGAACCAGCGCTCTGATGCTGGAGTCAGTGGGCAGCGGCCGCCGCTGAGCTGCAGTGCCCCCCCCCCCGGCCTTTCTTTGTGTGTTAGCTGACAATGGACACCTGGACTCACTCCCTCTTAGCCGCTGTGAGCAGCAATGCACGAACGTGAGGGAGCAGGTTTCTCTGATAGAGCGACCTCACGTCTTCTGAATACGCACCCAGAAGAGGGACTGCTGGGTCACATGGCAGTTCTGTCTTTAGTCCATAAAGAAATCCCCATACTTTTTTTTAATGAACTTTTAAAAAAATATATTTCCTTCCTCCCTCCCTCCCTTCCTCTCTTCCTCCCTCCCTCCCTCTCTCCCTCTCTTCCTCCCTCCCTCCCTTCCTCTCTTCCTCCCTCCCTTCCTCTCTTCCTCCCTCCCTTCCTCCCTTCCTCCCTCCCTTCCACCCTTCCCCCCTTCCTCCCTTCCTCCCTCCCTTCCACCCTTCCCCCCTTCCTCCCTTCATTCCTCCCTCCCTCCCTTCCCCCTCCCTTCCCTCCCTCCTCCCTCCCTCCCTCCCTTCCTCCTTCCCTCCTCCCTCCCTCCCTTCCTCCCTTCCTCCCTCCCTTCCTTCTTCCTCCCTCCCTCCCTTCTCTTCCTC